ATAAGTAAGCAGTGAATAACTTACTATTAGAATCTCAGCATAATGGTCTTCTTTCATATATAAAAAGCCCCATTATATTGGTTTTAGGACATTTTGGGTTTCACCTCTGTTTTTTATTATGCCCAGCAGTGCTCAGAAAGGTAATAAAACTCTTTAAGCATTAGAATGGTATATTTAGTTTTTTAAAAAAGAATTCCATTAAGAATCTAGTACTGCATTTGAAGTTTCTGAATGTGTCTCAGGTAAAAAAAACTTGCAATAAATAATTCTGGAGGTTGCCAAGGCAGAGGTTACATTTAAAAGACCATCTTTATCCAAGAGGAAATAACATGGCACATTTTTTTAATAAAAAGTGTTAGCTAATCAGAGATTCTATTTGGGTATCAATTTCAGGGTCAAATTTAATTGTGCTCTCAGGCTATGAATCTGGTATCTTAAAGGAATTTCTGTCCCACTGCATTCAGACTAGATGCCATCTTAATCTGTCATATTAGATAAAATAAGGTCTCTACATCATATGAATTTTTTTAAATGGAATCCGTCTGTACAGGTTTTTGTTCCAGATTTTAAGATACCATTTTTACCAAGATGAAATTAGAAAGTGTCTCTGAGAAGTTAAGTTCAACTTCTAGTTGTTTCAGAGTAGCATCCATGTATTTTTCTTGGCAACCAGGTCTGATCCTTTCTAGCTTTTCAAGAGACTCCAGAGTTGGCTGGGTGCTGCATTAAAGCTACCAGACTTCATTATCTTGATAAATATTTCTGAAATGATACAAGCTCATGACTGTTTGGTTTTCATACAGGAAAAAGCAAACTAAAGTAAAGACCAAAAAAAGCCTTCCCTGGCAGTCAAAATGTTTTGTATGTGTTTTTATATAGGAATGCTATTCTATTTTACATTGTACTTTTTTACTTTCTGTGTGACTTTAGAATCTAAATTCTAAGGCTGTAGTAGCTTGGGAAACCAGGGGATAGAGGAGTGTCTGAATAATAATGTTGGATGACTAAGTGAACCTACTCATCCTTTTCAGAGGTTATATAAAAGTGAAAAATAGATTTTAGAGTCTTATCTGTGACATTCTGAAAGATTCTGTTAGATGTTAATTATCTTGTAGAATCCTTACACCAAATCAAGTAGTGGAGTGGAAGTTTAAATACTTATTTCTAAGATCTGTGAACTCCTTGGATTGGAATGCTTTAGGTTAGATTGCTGCCTTATTCTGCCTAGTTTCAGTTTACCTTGGATATTCATAGGAAAAATTGTTTAAGGTTGCCCAATTTATTTTTGGGTGAATAATCCAGGGCTCAATTTGCAGCTATATAGGTTTACTTGTACCATCCTAGTATTTTCAAAGTCAAAAACAAGTATAGTTCGTAAATGTTGAAAAAATTTAAAGCATTTTAGAATTCAATAGAACACTCTGCTTGCATTTACAATAAAATGTTTATGTGGTTATTATAAATCTTTCAGGTAGGTTTTACCACATAAGTTTAGGATTTGAGCATTGTTTTATTCAGGAACAGCACAGGATAGGAAACAAGCCTTTGTCCATCTCCTTTCTTTTTGCCACCTCAGTTTATGATGATGATGATTATTACCATGTCCTATTCTAGGGACATTGGGCTACACATGTTCTCCACAGTTCTCGGTCTGCAGCTACAGTGTCCGCATCCTTTCATTCAAGGTTGATGTTTTTATGATATGCATCATGAAACTGCAGCAAGGAAAAAAGTGATGCTAAAAAAATCATACCATATTCTGATTTCTCTGTTTTCATAGACTTCTGATGCCAGCTTTACCTCTGTAACAAGATATCTATATGTAAATTTTGTTTGAAACAGATAAAAAATAATGGACCTCTGATCAACATGATTTACAAAGTGCTAAAGAGCTCAGCGCAAGGGTTACTATCCAGTATAAATGTAAGAGTGCTTGTAACAGAAATGTAATCATTCCATTGCTTTTCAAGTGGCCGTCAGTGTTGAAATAGCTAAGCATTACCAGTTGTTTCCTGACACATATATAACACCAGAGCTTTTTGCAAGTTGTGTGATTTGGGGAGGCTTTCTGCAATATTATTGGCTGGCCTGATAGTGCTTTGTTTCATTTTCTCATGTGTTGGGAACTAGTGTTGGTGATTCCATTTCTACGTTTATAGAAATACAAAGCATGCTCTTGTGCTTTAATTTTGTTGCCTTCACAACGATATAATTTTACATGTCTCAGTATCTGATATAATTGCATTTCCCCCCTTCAGTTTAATGTGTATCCCTAGGTTTGAGAAAGGTTTTGTTGCCTGCATATTTCTTCTATTGGTTGTATTCTGTTATATTCTGTTATGTCAATATATGTGTTTCAATTTTTGCTTAATTTAGGAAGTATTAAAAGTACAAAATATTTTAAGCAAGAGTTTTAAAAACAGTACTTTATCACAATGAAAAGCATTCGGTCTAGTTATTTGCAAAAGGCAATAAGCCTTCCTGTATTTGATAATCTGGCTTCCATTTTATCAGTTTACAATGATGGAAACTTGAAGATGGAGCTGGGACAGATAGTCATGAATGGTAAATAGAAATAATAGTATTAATACTAGTACTTAAATAACAATTTCTGAATGTCCAAAGCATTTTGCATACATTATCTCAGTAGTTGCAGCAGATTTCTAAGGTGAGTTTAGCATTATTATATTAGCTATATAGTTGCAATTCACAGGTAGTAATTTTTGAAGACTCAAATTAATGTGAGGGATTAATTTTGAACTTATAATTTCCCAGTTTCCCACTCATGTACGTATTTCTTTTCTACTTCCTAAAGAACGAATAGCTTTAAATTCCTTTGTTTACCACATGATGGTTAGTTCCCTGAATGGATTTATATGATTCTGTATAATCTTAATTGAGTTATGGGAAAATGTTAGCTATAGTTTTAGAATAAAATATAATAAAAATATTAAAATTATCAAAATGAAATATTCTGCAAAGTAGTGTAATATCTATATCTGTATTCTGTATAGAAAAATGCAGGTAAGTTTTGGCTGATTGCATGTGTTTAAGAACTGAGAAGCATTTCCAACAGAGGCACCAGTTTTATTATAAGTCTCTTGATTTTTAAACTGATTTAAAATAACATTACCTGATAATATGGTTCTCCCTTTGTCAGTGATTTTATTTTTCTGTAAGTCACATAAATTCTCAGGAAAATTGTAATGATAATAAGAACTTATTTCAACTTGTATTACTGCCCATCTCAAATACATGATTATTAAAAGCAATATTAAAACTATGTAAGAAAACAATATAACACAATTCATAACTAATGTATAAAAACACTCAATAACACTGAACATAACCACTATACAAGTTTGATTGTGCATTCAGATAGCAAAACCAAGTGACAAAATCATGTCTGTAAGGGCTAATCTCATCTCTGAGAAGATGATGCGCCGAGGTGGCGCTGTGGTTAGGGTGCAGTACTGCAGGCCACTTCAGCTGACTGTTATCTGCAGTTCAGCGGTTCAAATCTCACTGGCTCAAGGTTGACTCAGTCTTCCATCCTTCAGAGGTGGGTGAAATGAGGACCCAGATTGTTGGGAGCAGGCGGCTGACTCTGTAAACCTCTTAGAAAGGACTGTGAAAGCCCTGTGAAGTGGTATATAAGTCTAACTGCTATTGCTATTGCTATGATGTTTCAAAGGAGAGTACCACCACAGAAAAGGATCTCTACCTGAACCCCACCCGTTGGCATTCCCTAACAGACAGAACCGAGAGCATGCAAATGCATATTGTGAATACTAGTTGTTTGATGTGAAAATTTGCCATATTGAACGCAACCAAATTTAAAGGAACCTCTTAGATATAGCATTTACTCATATTCCTAGAAGTAGAAAAACATTTTTTCAGAGAAAAGGATGCTGTTTTTTTTGCTATTAACATTTTACGACTTCCAGATTTTTACTTTTAAATCTTTATATTTTAGATGACGGGGCGCGATACATTCAAAGAACGACATGCAAAACCCATCAAAATTGGAGAAAGTGATATTGATGTAAGTATAAGGTTTCTTCTTTCTGATCCTTGCAAAATCTCATTTTGTTTTATTGATTTGACCTTGTGTGCATATATATATTTATTTCTAGGTAAAGCTGAGTGTCTTCTGTGAGCAAGACAGGATTCTGCAAGATCTAGAAGACAAAATAAGAGCCCTTAAAGAAAATAAAGTAATCATCTTTGCAATTAATTACACCATCTTATTTTTGTAATATTCTGTTTTGGGGTTTCGATGTCCTTTTGATTTCTGAGTATGTACTAAGTAAAACTAGAATTAGATCTTTGTAACTATACAGTTTGTGATATAATTTATTCTAATAAATTATTCCAATTTATTTCAAGTAAGCAATTGAGGGAGATGACCAGGCTGAGTTTGAGACATGGGTCAAACGCATCATCAGTCATGAATCTCTGAGCGCCCACAAGACATCTAAGTCCAGCCCACTTTGAATTCTATTTTATTCTTAACTCTTGCTAATTTCCCTAGACTGTTAGTTATTCAGATTCTTGTAGATAGCTTAAGCCTTAAGCTTGCAATAAATCTTTATACTCTTTTGAACTGCCTGAATTTCCTGATTTCCCTGGTGCTTGACAGCAACATGATTACATTCAAGTTACTTATTTCATAACTTTTCTCTCATTTTAAATATTAATTGCTTATAGAGTCTATATTAAATTCTTATAGAGTCTATGTGCAATTCTTGTTTGTTTTAAATAACTTCCCAACTGGAAGGACATGTTTTTAAAAAGCGTAAGAAAATATCTGAATGATGCTAATATATCTATCCTCATTTTCATCTTTCTAGCTTACAAAGAGCTGAAGTTCAGACAAGTTGAGGGTATCATCTCTGAAAGTGATTTTCAAAGCTGGGTTGCTCTCATTGTAAAACTTTATTCATGGTCTCAGTTAAACATATATTTGGGGTTGTTAAAAACATCCTCAGAAGACTGCTGTAGAAAGAGGAAAGATTTGTACTAGATGTTTTTGTATTAAATTGTTCACACATATATTAAATAGAACCCAGAAACAAACTATATGCCATCACCTTTAACAAATTCATATATTCTGAATATTAATATATTCTGAACCAATACTCTTTGGGAAGTCTCCCTAAATAAAATTAATTGCAGTAATTGAGATGTGATGTATATTATGCAGATTAGGTATTACCCCTCCCTCCATAGAAGTTGAACAAATTTTCCTCACCTTCAGTATCCAAATCCAAGACTGGATTTGAAGGATACAAGATCTTTGGACCTTGCGATGGATGGTGGGTGGAGAGAGGGAGATATAAGCAGGCAGGGGGAAGGCAGACAGATACATTTATATTTGGAGTAGAAAATTACTATTTTTAAAACACTAAATTAAAGGAAGGTCTTCTAAAATGTTCTCAAATTTTTCTTGTACAGAATTTTTTTTTTAAATGTTTAAAATATTTTCTTTAGGATCAGCTGGAATCTGTCTTGGAAGTATTACATAGACAGATGGAACAATACAAAGACCAACCACAGCACACAGAAAAAATTACATATCAGCAGAAACTTTTGCAAGNTTCCTACTTTCTATTGGGACCTATGCAGAATATAATTTGGGTATTTTCTTGGGGCAGGCTTGGTCCTATGTTGGCATTATTATGAAAGACATCTTCCCTCCTTTTGCCATTTCACTTTTCTATGGAATTTTTTGTTCCTATCAGAAACTAAGCTAACTCCTAGTGTCAATTTCTACTCATCAGCTAACTAGAACAAAATTTATATTTAGCTTTCAGAGTGGCTCTGTTTCAGGATATTAATGGGCAACAGTGGTGGTCACCAGAGTGTCCATTTTTAATATGCTCTGACAGTCACTCAGTTCTTTTGGTTTCATATTATAATTACCTGAGGGAAACATATGCTTTAAATAATGAATGTGATTAAAATGATGACTGTGGTGTCATTTGATGAATTTAAGTAGTCAAACATTAAGTCTGATTCCTAAAAGTAAAGTTTTTAAAGTAATTTCAGATGTAGTACTGCACGTTACCTAATTTGGTAGCTAATGAGTCTTTATTTTTTGCCTGTTTTCTTCCATTGATTAACTTGTTCACTTCATTCAACTATAACAATCACTTGGAAAAGCTAAGAACAAACTATTCTTCCTTGCTGGATAGTTTTCATTATGTTCAATAAGATCTGAGCTGCAAAACTTCAAATGATCATAAACAGCAGCCAAAAGAAATAGAAAATTCAATATTCTTTGCTGCCCTATAGTGATCATCAATATTTTTTCACACCAGATCTTCCATTTGAATATATAGATTTTTGCAGAAGCTTCTAGACATATTTGATAAACAGAGTCTTATTATGCAGTAAATTATATTTTACTATTGCTGTATCCTTTTATTTGCAGGCTGATGATACCTACATCCAGCTGAAGAAAGACCTTGAATATTTGGATCTGAAGGTAAAACATATCCACATAAAATGTCATTCTAGTAATGTTACTTTTTTCATTTTTTCCCCAGATATACTTCCCTAGTGGTTTATGTTATACGGTTGCCTTATAAATCACTTGTTAATTAGATTTCTTTTGTGCATAGGTAGAATAAATTGCAAATAAAATATAAAATGGCAAAATGAAAACAAAACTCAGTCTGTTCCTTTCAGGGAGATCCAGGAAGTTCCATGCAAAAATTTGAAGGTCCTTCCTCTTATTACAAATGAACTAAACATATTACCAGGAGGATGGATTTCTGGGTCTTTGTTTTTTGTTTTGTTTTGTTTTTTGTCACTCCCCTTTTCAGTTGTTCCCCACCCTTTGAACTAGATTTTTAGATAGAAATGCTTCAAAGGAAAGTAAGAAAGCATTCTACCTCCAGTTGTCTAAATCCAATCCACGGTAATTTTTTTAACAGATTAAAT